CATGATATAAATCAAGTGTTTTTTTTTTAAATCATTAATTTAAATCACTTGAATATATATATATTTTAAAAATGAGTAGTTTCAATTTAAAAATATTTTCTTACTATAAATTTTATAAATATACCTTTTCAGGTCTGGTTTTTAAAATTTTTTCATTCATAATGAAGGATTTTTACAATTAAATGGTGTATTTTAAAATTTATTAAACGTATAGCTAGTGTACACCAATAATGAAAGAAGATTTGCTCGACCCTGAGTAACTTGAAATAATTTTTTTTTATTCAGAAATATTTTCTGATCTAAACTAATTTATTCCTCATTAATGATTTATTTAGTATACATTTAATTCATTCTTTTTATCAATATCATTAATTCATAATTATTCTTTTTGGAAATTGAAAATTTGTTAGTGATGACAATCGACCACTCACAATAAAAAAGTGTTTTTGCGTTTCCTCTTTTGCAACACTAGTTAAGAAGCCTTGAATTAGTCTCACTGCCTTTTTTGTCAAATCACATACTAATTCACCATGTTGAAGATATGTCTCAGCTTTTTGGCACTTGGGACCATTAGCCAGTCAGCGTGAATTACTATGCTGAGAAACGAGTATTAAGTTTCAAGCCCAATGAGTTATAATAGTTTATACGTTGATTAAGAATAGGAAAAATTGGATCGCCTCTTTCTTTTTTAGTATTAAGGTGGCAAAAATCAGAGCTTTGTTTGAGTAATCACCTGCCTTACGGGAACAAAATATGTTTGAAAATAGCGAGAATACGGTGCTTTCTTCGGTTAAGGTACCGTTCCATGGCTTTCATAGCTGCATTTAAAACTAAAAGATCATGCTTGCGACATTTCTTCAAGTCATGCCATTATTTAAGATCATTATGAAAAAAATCAGCCGTAATGAATAAAGAGAGCTAGCTTTTGACGGAGATAAGCGCATTAAATTTATATAATGCTTCTAATTTACTGACCAGGTCTGTATCATATCCTGTTTGAGCTCTGAGAAACTATATATCATTGTTCATCTCTCTTGTAATTATATTTTATTATTCTCCATTTTTTTCTCAATATTTTAGCTTATTTTATGAGTTCTATATACTTGCAGCTTATGCGCAGTTACTAAAACTTATTAATTTCCTTCGTTTTTCTCTTTGTTTTTATGGTTATATACATATATATATATATATAATTTTATTTTTGATTTTTTGATTTTTTTTTTTTTTTGCATTTTTTTTGTTAAAAAATTTTCACACAAAACATGACTTCTATGAAAGAATTAGTGGAAGGATATTACTAAAACACTGTGATAATTTTGTACACGGAATATTTTTGGAATGAAGCCATGATTTGATTCTAATGCTCATGAAAATATATGTAGCCAAAAGAGCAAACAAAGAAATTGATCAATAAATAATTAAAACTGTAAATAAAAAATGTGACTACGCGTAAAAAAATTTTAGTTTTCCTCAACACCAAAAATGGGGGCAACGATACACAAATATTTTTTTTACAATCTAGATCCGATGTAAATATAAATAACTCTTTCCGTAGAACCGTTAAAGGTAAAAAAAAAGAATAAATCTTCAAAACTTTTGGATTTGCCGATATAATCTTAAGCTTATTTCTGGAGAATCAACGCAGATATTATAATGAATAACTTTGTAGAAGACGTTAGCACTAGGTTTAATTTTATGTACTAGTAAAGAGAAATCGTATTTAAGATTTAATGTTTTGACATAAATCAGAATATCTCTCCAATTTTAATACAGATTGCAAGAATATTAGCTAAGATGTTAAGCTTCCAAAAGATCAATACCTCTGGGATATTTAATATTTATGTAGATTTCAGAAGCTTATTAAATATTTACTAACTTAAATAATTGCCTGAAGTCTAATATATTTTACTCCAGTTAGTGAAAATGATGTTGCTATTGAAAGTAGAATATATATATATANTGTATATATATATATATATATATATATTGGTCAATTTTATTATCGGTTTTTATTAATAATCGTCGTTTATTAATATTAATAACCGGTAAGTTGGCTAAAGTAATTCTTCTTATAGAATTAATCACATTTACCACTTATTATGAATAACTACCTATAAAGTTTAGTCTATGTAATTGTTTGCAGCACATTAGACTAAAAATTTCTTATACGGATGAGTAATTGAAATTTCCTACTCTAACAACTAAATTATGTTAGTTTACTTTGGGTGCATTCACCCGTTCTTTGTGTGCGTTGATCATTTATTGCACGGATACTTCAGCTAAATGGTTCTGGTTCTTTATACGTTCTTTAAGGCACTTAACTTCAAAATAAAAGACATCTTTGAAGATTACACCTTGCAATGCATACAAAAATAGAGGCGCTCGCTTAACTATATATATCTCTATATATATACATACATTTTGCCAAATTAATCCCGTTGAAAATAGAAAGTGTTTATTATTAATAATTAACGGTTATTACTATTAATAGCCAGATTTATTACATTAATAAATGTACTTTAATATATGTACATACCCAAAAAAGGTTTCAAGTGACTTAATAAAATATATTTAATTTTTAAGGGATAGTAGAAAGAGGTGGTAATTTTCCGCCAAATAGAACGAACTACCGTAACAGGAAGCTGTTAAGTAAAAAGAAATCGCTAGGTACGACAAGATGTGATATGAAAAGTTTCGCACCTTAAATAACTTTAGATTCATCAGTTTCGTTTTTATGTTCTCAGATGCAATAGATTCCGGAAATAAGTCAACATATGTCAATTATCAAAATAAAGCATAGTTTTTCTCTGTTAAACAGAAGCGCCGACACTGTTTTCTAGCTGAAACTTTCTAATTCGGACATGAAACGTGTCTTCATTTTTGTTTACCAACCTTTTTCCACATGTAAAACTTTTGCCCTTTAATTATGTGGTCTAAAATGTATGGTCTGAACAAAAATTTAACGGGAAGTAGAATTTCAAAATTTAGTAATGAATCTCATAATGACTTTGACTTTTTTGATTCTCTTTCTCTTCGGTAAAATTTTGATGTGTGTAGTCCTGATAATAGTTAAAGTCATTCCTTACCCAGAGAAAAATTCTGATTAAATTACAGTACTGTAATTTTATCAGATTTCTGGAAACAAAAGAAGCAACATAATTCTGGTTAAAAAAACTATATTGTAATTAAACCATTAATTTGGTAAGTTTTGTGTTCATATGACTTACCGAAATCATTGGTTTTCAAAATTATAGTGTGTACCACACATTTAATAAAAAATAAGTAAATTCAACCTAATAAATGGCTTTTATGACATGCTCTAATGCAGTGGTTCCCAACCTTTTGTGGACCATCGCCCCCCTCTTGGAGTTGGCTGACACATATCGCCCCTTTCTCTTTTTGCTCAAAAAACCATTCATTGTTGCTTGTGAGCAACCAAACACCGAAAATATGCTATGTTATTTGTTAAATTGTAATGCAAATAAGGAGCCACATTTATCCTGTCGTTTTTATTAATTAAAAAAAATTTTACATCTATTTTTTTTTAAAAAAGAAATGATATTTAAAACGTAATAATCAAAACAAAAGTACATTTTTTTAAATTCATACTTTAATAATCAAGAAAAAGTTAAAACGTTAACAACTAAAATTTGGAAAAATATGAAGAGGGAGAAAGTATATTTTTACCACTTCAATGACTGCCCTGTGCTTGATGTATTTCAAGTTAAAACTTGAATGTCAGGTTTTATGCTCGTCAGATTTAAACGCGGGTCTCCNTTTTAGTTTTTAACTATCATAATTATTTGTCTTACCAGAACCATAGGTTTCATACATATTTTCTATTTCAATCTCAAATGGCTTTTATTATTAATATTATTAGCAAGTTTTCTCTTTTGAGTACTCGTCACCCTCTGATCGCCCCCCTAAGGATTATCGCCCCCTTGAGAAGCTCTATCGCCCCCTTTGGGGCGATCGCCCCCAGGTTGGGAACCACTGCTCTAATGTATCATGATTAGCGAAGTTCTATTAAGGTATCATAATAACCAAGTTTTACCTCATATATCACATATTATTAAAGCCATATTTTATTGCTAGTGACACTAAAATCATTACCAAAGTGCTTCGCTAAAAATTACCTAGTTGTTTTGGTGTTCCCTTACAGCCAGAAACACGATAAATTTTACCATATTCTTTTAATTTTGACCACTCCTTTTCTTCTAAGTGTACTTTTGCCGTATTCTCTTTTCCATTTTCTCTCTATTCTTATATTCGTCATTAAACGATCTTAGAAATTTCTCAGAAAAGACGTTTGAATAATAATTTATGCAATTGTTATTTTACCAAACTCAAACAAAACAGCCAAATTACCATAAATAATATAGCATTTGAACTGTTTACTGTGACAAAATCGTTTATAAACTGCTTTCATCAAGCACGGTTAAACAACCGAAATTTTATCGCACCATCTAGACCCACCTAATGAAGCCACTTAGTTTCCTGCAAATGGGTACATGCTATAGCCACCAAGGCTAATCTGTCAATCTCATGACTGACGGAACTGGGGTTCAAGTCCCAGCGTTGTCCTCCTTTCCTTTCCACACAAGAAGAGTTTCCAGTGTCCTGCGTTTACCAATTTGTGACCCTGGGCTATCAGAATACGATACTCTTAATCACGCATAGAGGGAAGCACAATAAATCTGCTAAAGTATCTCCAATGGCCAGTTACATGCTTTTTTACAGTTTTGAAACAATGCTAGTTGTAAATGGTTTAAGTACCCTATAGTTTCTTTTCATGTTTTGTTAACCATACAAACTGTAAACGGTTTCGAAATCGTAACGAATGACAGACTGCTACTGGTTATTTTGCAGTCTTTTTTTCCTTGTTTTACTGCAGATAAAATTGTTTCCTTTGTCCAAACCTAAAAATTTATGGGTAAAGAATATATATTGTACTAATGCTCTTCGTTTCTTGTTTTTAAACATAATATATTTCATTTTAGCTATTCGCTCTGCGTCGTTTAATGCAAGGTGACGAGCGCAATCCTAAAGCTCCTCTAGCAGATAACTTTAGACCCACTTTGGCACTTAATCAGAGATCTATCAGGACCAACATTGATTTTAGACGAAATCCAGTAAGTAATATTTTGTAATTGTTTTCAAAAAATTTTTCTAAATGACTAAACTTATAGTAATGCGTATTATAATTATATCATTTATATTTTAATAAATACAATTATTGGTAAATCTCTCAGCTATTATTTAACTCATGGAATTTGTATTGGTAAGGTATTTTTTTATTTTTTAGTTTATTTTTTTAAACATAGATAATAAATTATTCGAATCTTGTGTTCCAAATACAGCTCTAAAGAAACGTAAAATACGGTAAATAGTTTTAAAATTTATTGAAATTAATTTTAAAATAACACATTAAAAAATGAAAAATATTTGTATGATGAAATATTTTTGCTATCAATTATCTTTTACGAAAGATAAAGTTTTATTATATTTATTATAATATTTAAAAGTTATTTAAAGTTTTTCTTAATTATAAAGTCTTATGTTATTTTTGTAAGTTTCTGAATTAGTCTATGATTTTAGATTTAGCTCATAAATACAACTCTAAGGGCCGAATAATCCTCCGTCGAGGTATAGGCATCACACTTGCCTTGTCCTCGACTGACGGGGCACTAGAAAATTTTGAAGTTGAAATGCTTTTCTTCAGTTGAAATAATCAAAAATAATTTTAAATAACTATTAATTTCTATAAGGTAGGTGAAAAGTACTATTGTTTTTGATGGATTGGATTAATTAAAGCAGAATTGAGCTGGATAGTTGAAGTTGCAGTAAAACAAGCTTTCACCCTTCCTCAACCATATCGACTCTCCCATTTGAATGAGGCATGCTCATAGTGTGTTTCCATATGCCTATTTTTGGATAGCGACATTTACCACAAGTATCTTATCTCTACAGATAATAAAATGTATATTAACAAAATATATATTTTAGATACAAATTTACGAAATTTTTTTTTAAAGAAATTTCCTTTCAAACATACCATATGGCTAAGGTGTATCGCAATAAAATGCCATACAAATTTTTATGGTTACCATAGGCTTATGGTGCCTTGGAATATGAATGCCATACAAATTTATTTGGTAGCTATATACATATGATCTATTGCTATATAAATGCCATATAAAATTCTATGGTCCTCATTGCCTTCCGGAATCTTGCCATATAAATCTCTATGGTAACCATAGGTTACGATAGATTGCTTTAAGTGTGTTTGTGGCAAATGTTTTTTAAAGAGCTGCACTCCCTAATTCGTGACCCTGAGCCACTAGAATACGATACACTCATTCACACAACGATATTAGTAAATTAAAGCAGCTAAACTATTTCCAATGTTAAGTGAATTTTCTTTTTTTTTCAGTTTTGAAATCATGTTAGTAGTACATTTTTTTTAAAAAAACGTATAGTTCTGTATTCACGGTTTTTTAACCCAACTAGTTGTAAACGGTTTTAAAACCGCAAAGGTAAAACATGTTCTTATCGTAAACTTTACTGTTAATTGGATGCACAGACTGTTGTTGGTTATTTTACCATAGTTTTAGAATGAAGACTCAAATAGTGTATGTTCATTTCTGATGAAAGAAGAAAAATTATAATAGTTATCAGAAAGAACTATTTCAATTGTTTACTATTGAAAGAAATATGTTTATTCATTTTCCTTACGAAATATGTATAACATTTTAACGTGAATAATAATGATGCCTTAAAATAGTTAATAAAAGTTTATTTTGAAAAGGATTTATTAGAACGTATACATATTTAACGAAGTTTTTGCTAATTTCCGAAATACTTTTAAAATTTAATACTACTTTTAAGACGCTTTGCACGCTTTTCTCAAATCTAATTGCTTTAGAGGAAATATTTTCATTTTGTCACAAACAATGGACACGTTTTTACTCATTAATTCTTATTTGTGTTCAGCGAATTTCTTACAAATATCTTATGTAAAAACCTGTGTGTAAAAGAAACTGTTCATTTACTTTGTTTAAGATAGCCTTTTTGATTAGTTTTGCATTCTTTAAGAAGAAGAAGAAAAAAATCTTGATATTTTTCTCTTCTATTTTGTCATTGTTTTAACCCCTTTTGTCCCTGTAGTTAATTATAGCTTTTTGTTAATGCTTTTTTGTACAGATAAAATTTTTTATACCGCTTCATTCCTTTTTCAGCACTAAGCCATGCTTCAAAAGTATAAAAAATGCAAAAACCATGATCCAAGTCATTTTAATTAGAAGAAGTAAGAACAGTTTTTTGTTGAGGAAAAAAACTGAAACGTTAGTATTCTTCAGCGTGTTTCTAGGAAAAAAATCAACACATTTAATCTAAACTTCGCAGTCTGAGATTTGACGAAATTTTTTGAAAAAAAAAAACACTATACATAATATTTATTTTAAGTATAATTACCAAACATGGGCATTTAAATAATATCCTTGGTGTAAAAACTTTATTTAACAGTTTTTTTTAACTTTACTATATCTTCTGAAAAAAAATCTGTGCTAAATTTCTTGCTTCTTTGATATTATTACATAAGTAGTAAAGTATTTAATGATAATATTTTTTCAGAGAAATTTAGAACTCTATAATCACACGAAAAAAATGACGCCAAAAATCACACGAAATAAATGACTGATGCATAAAATAAAATTATAAATTAAATCTACATTTTTTCAACAGAAATAAAGCGAGTGGTTGGTTATAATACCTTGTTTCATTCCACGATTCAATTATCAGTTGATACATAAATGTACAAATGCTGTAGGTCGGGGTGATTTTGCTATTCAAAGCAATGCTGCACCAAAAAACGTGTATAGCAAAATTGAGAAAAATATGCCAAAATAGCTTCGAAACAAACATAATTAAATTTGTAAATCCATGCACTCTTTATTGAGTGTAGTGATATGTTTAAAATCGAATAGTCTCAGAAATGACACATCATGACAAATTAACACTTAAACAAAGGATCATTTATTAGTTTATAATGATCAGTATTCGAAAATAAACTTTAATTAAATAAAACAAATAAAAAGTACTGATATTTTCCTTATTCCTTCTTAATTTCATGCTAATAAAGAGTGTCTTCAGATCGGTAATTGACAATTTCATGCCTTTCACCATGTTAATATACAAATGAAGACTGATTCTCGGATCTGTTTCAAGTTTGAGTAAGTCACTATAATGACTGCATGGGGTTTTCAAATACTACTGCATTTGTTTCAGAGCTTTTTCCAGAAATTTTTTCTTAATTTTCAGAAACCCTTTTACAGTGCGAATTTTTTAAAAAAAAAATAATACCTCTGCCACTCATTAAAGAGTATTAACTGAATTAGAGAAAATACAATTATGATCTCTTTATTTCTTTTCAAGAAATTATTATACCCAGTGTCAGAATTAATGTAGTTTATCTACAGCTTTTTCTTCCTAAACCAAAATTTGTTTGCAACTTCATAGCAGTCAATCATTATTACTGTAAAAAGTTAGCTTAATCTAACACACATGTAGCAAAATTTGTAGATATAAGGTCCTTCAAAATAAATTATACATGAAGAATATATATATATATATAACNAAGATATATATATATATATATATATAATCCATATATAAATAGAAGACTTAATTTTTGGTCAAAATTGTCCATTAAGATAATCAGGTACCTAAAGACTAAAAATATGAATATTTTTTGAAACAAATTAATTTTTTTAATTAAAAATGAATAATTCCACCTTATTACCACAACAATTTTAGTAATTTATTGCAATGTAATCTATTTTTTAGAATAGTATTAACGTGAATAATATCTTTCAAGTTTAACCTCTTCTTACAATTTATAATTGCATTATTTTACTTTAACCATGGTATTTATTTTGATAAGAAAGTAATTATTTTTATTTAATAATCAACATTAACAGTCATTAGAGTTGGTCCTCATTCCCTGAAGGTAAGTGAAATTTTTAATTACAGAACAAGTACATTTTGGTCGTTAAAAGGTCAGTCACTTCCCAATTCGCATCCCAGGTTTCGAGTTGAAATTAACTTTGGAAATTGTGATTTAGTTTGGCTTAACTTTTCTCCAAATTAAAGTATAATTTTATTAAGAATTTCATTGGAGAGAAAGTTAACGTTTTAAATGTTAATAGGTCTAAATTTTCGCTCTTTTGCGATAAAAGTAATCACTGAGTTTTTATTTTTTTTAGGGAAGTGAATGTCCTACCATGCACAGGCAAGTTGAATACCAAGGTAAGATACATTGTTATTATTTAGTATTCTATCTAAAATAAATTTATTTGTGTTGCTTTACGCATTTAATTTTTCATAACAAAATATTTGTTTTCTTGTGAAAGGTATTTAACGTAGATTGTTATATAATTTACGTTGTTGAACTTAATTTAATATCATAGTTTTCTTCTTTTTCAACGGCTCCAGGTTAGGTTATTTTGATTTCATCTAGAAAACATCGTGAACTTCAATTTTTTTTTTACTTTCCATAACTTAATTAAAGTGAAATTTAGGCTTCTGAATTCTTTGCAGAAGTTTAACATAAGCACGAACATTAACTAAATGCAAACATTTTTGTGAAATAATGCAAGGAACTTTTCAAAAATGAATTTTATTTGGTGCCAAAATACGTGAGATAAAACATACCGAGATGTTTTGCACGCTCAATAAAAGTCATAAAAAACATGTGAATGATTTGAAACGACTTTTAATAGGCACTCAAATATGCTCATTCTAAATTTATGTTTGCTAAAAGACACTTGAAAATTACATATATTTTTAAATTGTTAAAAACTTTGGATTTTTCTGATACTCGTAAAAAAATATTTTGAACGAAAACATGCTTTTTCCTGATGTGATATTTTTTTGTTAAACTGTTCATAGGTACAGTTATCAAATTAGTACAGAGTTCAGACGGTAGTTCAGATAGTTTCAGAAATTTGACTAGAAGAAGATGACTAAACTAAATGAATCGAACTGACCAAACGAATCGAATCATCTATAGTATATTCTTCTATGAAGAATAGTACTCTTGAAGACTCATTACTCATTTTCTTAAAATTTTATTTCAGTTGGATAGTTTCATAAATAAACTATACAACTAATTTTGGAAACGAGATAATAAACTATTAAATACTTCGGTTCTAAAATAAAATTGATTTTAAAAAATTAATATTTTTTAAATTAATAATATTACTTTATATGTAGCTGTGATTGCGAAACAAGATGCATTGCTTTAAAAATACTAATTTCTTCTTGATTACTTATTTTCCAACAGCATAATCTTTATTTAATAATTGCAGTTATTTAATGGATAGTTAAAAATGTTTAATGTGTGTTTTTTTGTAATAATTCAAAGGTATTCCCAGGTGAAAGGTCAACCGAAAATTTTTTCACGTAATTTATTTTATGAATATGTATACATCTATTTTTTTTATTCTCATTTGGTATAGAGATATTTAATGAATAGATTTATGTAAATGAAAAATGTTTTTGATTTTAATATCAATCATTTCCACTGTAAAACTGAATATTTGAACGAAACGGTTCACGAAACTTTCTTTGTTTTTGACGAAATAACTTGTCATTTTTTCAAGGAAGCGAATTTCTTCAAAATTAAAGAAATATTTCTTCAGTCTATTTTTTTTTACCTTGAAAAAAAGCAAAAAGACACGATAGAAGTCGGTCGGTATATCTCGTCACTTTACTTCTGATTATCCAGTCTCCGTTCTAGTTTTTTTTATTATAGTTTAAAATGTTCCACAATGTCCTACGGTGAAGTTTCCAGTTCAGGAAACATTTTCGTCATATATTTGAGAATTTTGTCACAAATCTAGTGTTTTCATGACAAAATTATTCTTAAAATTAACAAAATGTAACTAGATGATTGCTGAATCATCAAAAGCGAAAATTTTATTTCTGAGAGTCTCCATAAATACACAGTTTTATTTCCCTTTACGTGATTAAAACTGCCATTCTTACAAAAATGAAGAAAGACCTGTTTTATCCCATCATTAAAGGAGCAATATAAGCAAAGTGTACAAAGTAAACATAAAAGGTAGTTGTATCCTTGTCTTGATGTATTACACTAAAACAAATATCATTTTTTTCGAATAATATCTATAAACTGTACAGTCCTACGGAGTTAGGCATGAATCAAATAATATTAAATGAAAAATGTCGCCTTCTCCGAAATAAACATCAAAAATCTGACACTCATGTGACAATGTACCTCATAAATTGGAAACAAAGAAAGAAAGAAATGAACTATATTTTGCTGAAATGCATTAAATAAGGATTATTGATCTTATTTCTATATTGTCTGGCAGAAAAGTTTAAAACCGAAGAAAAGTAATCTAGCTTTATTTCTTCATTCTAGATCTTTCATCCTTTTATGATGTTTCTAAAGTTGATAAAAAAAGGTTCGATTTAAAAAAGGACTGCACTTAAAATAAAATAAAAGAGCTTCCTTAGATAGGTTTTTATAAATTACAGGTATTTTAAGCCTTCAAATAAACTGAAATAGAAAACTTTAGTTTCAATTATTGTGGTCTATGTAGTTTTTTTTAATTTAATATTCTGAGGATCTAATGCAAAAATATATTTCGATGGTTTGAAAACATTTTAATGAGAGTTAAAGTAAAATTCAAAGCTTTAATTTTCTGGAAATGCTTTATAAATGAATAAGTAGTAATTCAATATCAAAATCAAATTAGACTTTGTTAAATGCAATAAGCAAAACTTCCGGTCTTGAAGAAACTACATCACACATTTCAATTAAAATTACTCAGAGAAAAAAGTCTGATAAAATTACCGTACTGCATGATAATGACATTACTGGTAAAAAAATATATAATTCTGGTTGATAAAAACAAAGTATAAGGCATTTAAACTATTCATTTTCTAAGTTTTCTGTTATTATGGTAACGCATTACTGAAATTCTGGTTTTAAAAATTACATTGAAACCTATTTTTGTAATATTTTGATTTATGTATGTGATATTATGTTTCATATTTGAGACATTAGCCGTTTTCTCATATAGATTTGCACGGTGGTGCAATCTTTCTCCGTTTTTATTCATTTTTTTTAATTTAAATTGTTATGTTCAATTTTTGAAGAAACTGGAATTTCTTTGAATTTGGGTTAACTATGGATACTTACGTCTATATCGTTTAGAGAGCCGTACGCTCAGGTGAAAACTGCAAAGGTACTAAATTAGTAATGCCTGAAAAACAATTAATCATATTTTAATGGTAAAAGTGTGACCAAAATATACAGTTGATAATTTATTTCGAACACAAGAAAGCAAATTTTTCTCAAATTTGAGTTAACATCCTTCAAAATATTCTTATTTCGTTGTAAACAAATCTCAACATTGATTTTAGATTCAAAATATTTCTAAAAGACGTCTTTCATTTTATTTATTTCTTTTTATTTTGAAAGGCCTTTAGCTGTCATGGTTTCTCAGTGTCTCTTATGATTTTAAAGCGTTTTCAATGTAACATGGTTATTATTTTTAGGAAGAAAAACAGATATTATGAAGAAACTTCCCGTGGCTAAAATTAATGTTGACCGACAGTAACACGTTTTTCCCTGAAAAATCATAAATGCGAATCAAGCACTTGTTGAAATGATTAGGAAAGAAGTCATTACACAATTTCTAGTCGTGCTATCTTTTTATCATTTTAAAAATGTTTCAGAAATTCTTGCAAAATTAAGTTACCTGTTCCGATGAACCATTCCTCAGTATTTTAATACAATAATTAACAAACATTTATATCCCTGTTTTTTTTCTATTACACCCTTTGTAATTACCTTGCATTTTCCCACATATAAAAATTTCAAATTGTTTTAAAAATTTTTCAAATGATATATCTACTCTAAAACTTCCTTTTTTATTCGTAGCTAATGTGCAGAACAACCCAAAAGGGGCTTGATGAGAGACATGATTTCCTGGAACCGACGAAGAAAAGAATGAAGGGTCATATCGTTCCTTTTTTAACGGGCGAAATCTGTCCTTTCATTATTATTTTCGTTCACATATCCATCATAACATATCTGGATCATACACTGTCTTCGTATGTGCGATCTGCGTCATCATATCGAGTGTCTCCTCACCCTTTAAACCAATGTATGTCTTCCTTCTTGTGTGATGTGATGTGATGTGATTTGGAAGATCTTTGCCATGTGCAAGACTTCTTTGCTATCGTCATCTGTTTCGTGAAAAGTATCATTATATCTGCGCACCATTTCTATGCTTAAAACTGTATCAATTTATGGGCAAGCTTGCATAAAAAAAACTAATGAATGTAAGCTGATGCTGATTTTTAAGTTTAAAACTGCAAATATAAATATTTAATGAATGTTTACCACCCATCAATTTACCGGAAATGTTATAGCTGATTTGGAGTAAAATACATATTGCCGAAGACTGTATTTAGTTGTAAGTATGCTTTTTGACTGTAATTAATTTTTCATAGTTATAAAAACAATTCATATCTATAAGGAAAGATAGGCGAAATGGCCGAAAGAATGCGTGAAACTACTTAAAAATGGGCCACGAGAGCTTTCAAAGTGAGCGTAAAGTCTTTCTAAAAATGGATACGCTCATAAATGAATTTAATTTATTTGAATTTGAATTTAACGAAGAATTAAATTTAATAAACTAAATTTAAACAACTATTCAGATCAAATGATTCTAAACAAATGGTGCAAAGGATTTTGTAAATAGCAGGCATTATTTTAACTACCAAGAGAAGTAAAGTTATGTATTATTACTGCCAAGACTAGGGCAAGCAAACACCAGTATTTCCAAAGAATCCATTGCTGCTGTTCGCATATTGATTCATGTTAATTTAAAAGTTACATTTCGTGATATCTGAGCTGCACTTGTTTGAGTAAAGAACTGGCCTAATCAGCTATTTCACTAAGAGTTGCACTACTGTAAGATGTTTTGTTTTCAACTCATCCGGAACAGAGCCACTAAATCAAACAGGTCTTTGATACAACTTTAAATTCACTTTAAATGCTCTCATGCTAACTCATTAATTCGTTAATTCTGCAGTATATAATGTAAAAAATTCCGGAAAAAATTATAGTACGGTCACTTTGAGAGCATTATCCGCAAAATCAATTTTACTGTAAAATTCACATTTAACCGTAAACTGTTTACCGCTATTTTTGCAGTAATCTTTATTTAATTCGAGTGATCCAGTGATTTTACGGTAGTTATTACTGAAAAATAAATACGGTATATCAGATTTTTGTTCCGTAAGATATTCCGATAAAAATGGATTTTACGGTAAAAAAATACCGGCAGCCTGAGTGCCGGTACTTTTCACCGGAGGTTTTTACAGTGTACTTCTCCTACCTTTCTTTATGACTCTGAATAGAGGTACTGTTATGATTATATGTGTTTTTGGCACGATCGCTTATGCCAAGCTTCATATTCTTCTGTTAGAAAAATTATGGCACTTACAGCAGTTTTAATAGTATCCTATAAACAACTTTTTTAAAACACAATTACGCATATATTGATAATACTTGAGTGGGACTCTTTAAGAGTTTTTTTTTTGTTTTAAATTATATTTAAATTAATCAAACATTTAAAAGCACTGGTTTTGAAGAATTGTTTTAAAACAGGCTTATTCGATATTATACATGCTATAAAATTTCGGTTTGATTTAAAAATTATACTATACAATAAGCTTTTTTTTTCCTTTAAAATATCTGATTTCAACAGTATATTGTAGAAAAAAAGCATTAAGCAGAAAATAATGAAAAATTGAAACATATTTTATAATCGTATTGGATCTACTTATTTCATACAAAATAAGTCTTAAAAATAATAAATTTAAAGGGACTATTTTGAATTAAGAATCATTGTTGTCAACAGTATTTTGCTGAAAATATAAATATTAAGTAGAAAATAATGCTAAAACATAACTTGCTATATTATATCTATTTTAATCACAGAAAATAAGTTTTAAAAATAATTATTTTGATTAGAGTATTTTAAGTTAATAATTTCTTATTTTCACAGTACTTTGCTGGAATAATAGAAATAATAAGTTAAAATATAACTAATAATTCTTTTATATCTATATTTGTCATAGAAAATAAATTTTAAAAATATTTACTTTGAAAAGAGCATTTTTTGTGCATGGTTCAGCTTTCCTTTAGTTTTTTAAAGTATGATATATGTATTCTAAATTAAAACTAAGAATTCATCTCATCTGTATAATTTTAAAAACTTCCGAAATAAATTTTCGTGGGCAACTAATGTTAACATAAATTTTTTTTCTTAATTAAAGAGATTTTTTTTCTATTTTCAGAAAAAATGGCCAAAATGTTATTAATTAGAAATCGTCTCATGCGAATTTAATCATGAAAAGTCTAGTTTTTAAAAACATGAAAACTTTGATTTCAATCCCGTAAGATCTGTAGAATCCTTATTAACTATAAATCCAGTGGGGAATTTTCATTTCCGCCATAAATGGCCCTAACTTATTTTATGGGACGCAAGTGCTGAATGGCAGCAATATCCTCAAAATGGTGCAAATGAGCATTTTAGCTTTCTTGGGTAATTTACTTTTCAATCCACCAAGCTCAAAGACTCAGCCAAAAAAAGAAAAGAATAAAACAAAATAATGGCAAAGAAAAGCCAAACTATAACACCTACTTGCCTTTGGGTTTAATGTGAATGATTTGGCAGTAATCGAAAATTATGTTCCTCTAGTCTTATGTAACAATCCTTCAATCTTCTAATTAGAGCCGGGGGCTAGCAATTTATCTGTAATGACATATAGTGGAACAATTTCATTCGGTAGTATTCAGTTGGTTCTTGAGATAACAAAACTCTTAAAGATTTTCATAATATTATTGATAATAATACAATTAGGAATGTGTAGATTATAAAACTAAAACTAAATCAGTACAATTTAGTAGAAGATGAAATAGCTCTGAAGATATATTTTAATACATATTTATTTTAATGTGAAGAACCTTAAAATCACTACATAAAAATATAATGAAATATTTTATGAGAATTTATTTATTGATTAAGAATATGTCAAAGTATAATATGATAATTAGATGATGAATTTATTCTGTAGATAGTTTTTCTTTCTTGAAAACTTCACTAAAATAAAGCAAAAAAGTTTTTTTCTTTGGGCTTTTCGAAAAAAAATCGATTTTAAAATTGCTTGCTTTAAAACTATTATATAAATGTATTAGTATCACTAGTTTAATAGCTATTTGAATCAACCTATGAACCCGATCAATAATAATAATATCTACTCTAAAACTTCCTTTTTNTATATATATATATATATGCTTTAAATATACTAATAATGAAATTACAAATGGTGTAAGGTATTTGCAATAGAACCAATGATTTGCAGATCTACTAAACATGCAGATCTATTTAAGCGTACGTATAGATCATAGAAATTAAAGTAAAGCATAAATTTACATGGCATATTATGAAATTTTGATAATCAGATCTATTTATGTTTTTGATATCTTGCAATTTTCTTCGAACTCTTCTGTATAATCTTGTTCAATATCAAAAATCAGAGCTACGTGCTTATATACTTAGAATAAAAAAAACGTAGTAAGAGAAATCGAAGCTTCCTTTATTTATCCTGTACATTCTAAGATAATAGAGTCTTCTGCATAAGAAAACTCGAAGAGTTTTGCATCCTACATCCTATTCGCTTGCCTGAATAGAAGGAAAAATGTTTTTCCCTTTTACCGTTTTATGTCATTAGTAAAGAAAATATATTCCCATTAAATAAATGGAAAATTCCCGTTACAAAATAAAAAAAAGTTGAAATAATAAACATTATGGCTACCAAATGCGCAGCGCTTTTTTCCGTTGTATTTATTTTATTGCTTTTATTTTACTTTTTTTTTCCTTTTAAACTTAGGATGTTTCTGCAAATGGGTAAATATCAGCTAGGCTCCACTTCTTCGTCCGCCATTATTAATTCTTTTTTTTAGTTTGATCAATATTTATAAAAACTTCAGTATTGCCTTAGTTTAATTAAATGGGCACCGCAATGTTAATTGAAACATTTTCCCTCCTGTCTCCTGTTAATGAACAAAATGACTGCCGATAAAAGAACAAACTTTGGTAAATATTTTAATTTCATAATTCCTATTTTTGTCCGGATCTTTTAGTTTATTCTCGTATTAGAAGATTAATTTAAATTGACCGGATTTATTTAATTAAAGAAAATGCAGTTAAAATCATTAATCCATTTATATCCGTGTCGTTTAATTAATTTTACTAATAATTTGCAAATTGCATGTGCTTATCTGATACAGCTACTACGACCTTGGAACTATTATAACCGAATTTCTTTACCGTTTGCTTTTTATATCGACAATTTTCCATTATCATGTGACTACACTGGGGTTGCTTATTTTTAAAATAAATCAATTACTTTTGCAAAGTTCATAATTAGCAGTTCAAAGCTGACAATCAAAGCTTCTGAATATTAGAAAAGTGAATATAAATTTATTAACATCATTTCTTTTCCTTTTAATAAATATCCATATCTTCAAATTTGTAATTAAGACTATCAAAAAAAGATAAGTAGTAGCTGTATTTGATAAGCTAATATAGTATTTTGTTATGTATATAGACTATTTAGTTATGTATATATACTGTTTTGCGTTTTAAGTTCACTTTTATTAAAAATAAACAGTTTATAGTTTTATTTTGTTTTACCTAATCTTGAAGCCATTGTTTAACCTAATCTTTAATTGCTTTTATGAGATAAGATTTAAACTGGATAAAATTAAACTTACAAGACAACTGAATGGTTCAAATTCTGATATAAAATATAATTGTTCATTTGATGATTTGCTTAATATTTTTTAAACATCGACTTCATTAGTTAGATTTATATTTAAGCTCAATTTTTCCTCAAAGTGAATTAATGTTTAATGTTCAGTTATACAAATGAAGCCAAATTCATTGAAGAGAATTAAATATTGCATGTGCTAAA